CATGTTAGTCTTTGATTGAACAGTGCATGTCTTGGCTTGTAGTTGCTATATTCATTGATTGAATAGTAAATTGATTATGTACAGTGACCTTCCTCCGGGTTTCCCATTTTGTCCATGGATGAACAGGGGAAGGTCACAAATCCTCCTCTATAAATATGATGATATTGGATAGAGGAGGGGATCTATTCTTTCTCTCACTAAAAACTAGTACACTCTTGAGACAGAGTAAGAAATATATTTTGGACTGAGGAGATTTACCCGGTCTAGGTCATACTTTGTGTTCTTGTTGTGTGTTTTATATTACAGGTCAAGTGTCCAGGTTAAACCCGGTTAACCCACCCAGCTATATTTACACCATCATTTTTGGCGCCGACCGTGGGACCGATTTTTAAAGTTTTTTCAACCAGGTCAAAACTTTACCCCCACTAAATATCCACAATCATGTCTTCAAGCAACCACAACACTGTGTCAAGCCAGGCTGCGAGTGAAAGCACTCCTGCCATCCCATTGATGATGCCAGGCATGGGGACAATCTTTGCCCCGATCACCACGGTAGGATCAGTTGGCATGATCCCAATCATGTCAACCCCTACTCCTGCTCCAACGACAACAATGTTCCCAGGCTTGATAACAACGCCTGGTGGAGCATTCACACCATACCCGTCAGCTTGGACTCAGTTTGCTGCTGACCCGGCAAATGCTCAGGCTCTACAGGGCTATCAACAGGTGATGGCCATGATGCAACAGGCAGGGGGCTTCATGCCATTTGCCTATCCTGGTATGACGCCGCCAATCATGCCACCTCCGATGTCGACCCCGTCGACATTTGTCCCTAGGATGGTCCCTATACGCCCGGTGAATCTGACGTGGACCATGAATGAAGCAGCACCCTCAAATGTCCATGAGGTCGATGAGGCGGAGCAAGAGGCGGCCCGCAGGAGGAAGGGTAAGGCTATAGCCAAACCCAGCAAGACCCGAGATTCGGCGTTCAAACGCCTAGGGGACAAAGAGGATGGGCCCCGCAAGTCTGCCAAGCTACGTCTTGGTCCTGAGATGGGCCGGACTAGCGCAATGGAAAGACTTGGAGGGAATCGTCCCACCCAATCTCGTCGTTCTAGGGAATCTGAGACGATTCACCTAGACGAGGAGGAAGCTGAAAGCCAGCCCAGGGCATCGGCATATACCAGGCTCTCATATGATGAGGATGACCTGGACAAGATAGGAAGCGTAGCAAGAAAGCTACGTGCCCTGGAAGAAAAGGTGGACGAGAAGGCGGGAACAAAGAAGCACACCCTGGCCAAATCACCCTTTTCGGCTAGGGTACATGCACAAAAATTGAGGCGGAAGGTCAAGCTGGACGTGGAGAAATTCACTGGAAAGGAGGATCCAAATGTCCACCTAGACACCTTCCACAATGCAGCACAGATGGCCGGGTGCACTGATGCTGAGGAGTGCTTGCTCTTCTTCTCATCTTTGAGAGGGAGGCCTGTGGAATGGTTTAACGGCCTTCCCCATGGCAGGATTGGGTCCTTTGAGAAACTTGCCGAAGTTTTCCGCAAGAAGTACCAGGACAACTGCATTAAGAGGAAGAAGTTCACCTACCTTAACACGGTAGGGCAGAGGGAGAAGGAGTCCTTGACTCAATTCTTAACCCGCTGGAGGGATGAGGTTGACAAGGTAGAAGAGATGGATGATAAGACGGCCATGTCTTTACTGATGAATGCCTTCCGGTCGGGTGACCTCTACACTGAATTCTGTAGAAGGCCACCCTCCTCTTATCAGGAAGCCTATAATACGGCATGGGAATACGCCGAGGCGGAGGTCCTGAACAAGAGCAAGCGCGAGCTGGAGGAAGGCTATACAAAGGCGAAATCTGACACGCCAAAGAAGGATGGCCAGACGGGAGGGTCCAAGCCAAAGGCCACATATGACGGGTCCATCCACCAAATAAGGGATGATAAGAAGGGAGAGCAACCCAAGAGACAATGGACGGAGAAGTGGTGCACATACCACCAATCTGATTCCCACAACACGGCGGACTGCCGAAATGTCAAGGCCGTGCTCAAGGAGATGGCCTTAAATGGAGAGCTGGGGGAAGGTTACGCAGCGGGGAATAAAGATCAAAAAGCGAACACCTGGACCCGTCCTCAGGGAAAAGACCAGGGGAGGAAAAAATCCGGGAAGGATAACAACAAGCCCGATAAAGAATTCATCGAGATGATTGTCGGCGGCCCAGAAGGCGGGGACACTGCCTCCCAGCGGAAAAATTGGGCCAGGAGCTTGCACGTAGCGGTGGTTTCCCTAGAATCACAAGGGAAGCAGGCAAGGAGGGAACCTATCACTTTCACTGATAGGGATCTGCCCAGAACGGGGGGAGATCATAATGACCCTTTGGTTATTACAATGGATATCAATGGAGCTGATGTGGCCAGGGTCCTAGTTGACACAAGAAGCAGTGTCAATGTTCTATACTTGGATGCTTTCAAGAAATTGAAACTGGACAGGTCCATGTTGAGACCGTTGCAAACTCCATTATCAGGCTTCACTGGAGCTAGCATAAAAGCGGAAGGTCAGATCACCTTACCGGTTACCTTGGGGTCGGGTAACAAAACAGTAACCAAGCAAATGAGATTTGTTGTGGTTGATATCAAGTGTGTACATAATGCCATTCTTGGTAGACCTGGAATCAACCAGGTCAGGGCCATCATTTCTATGGCACACTTGTGCATGAAATTCTACACTCCCAATGGAATCGGGGAGGAAAGGGGTGATCAAAAGAATGCCCGGTCCTGCTACCTCGAAGCAGTCAAGAAAATGACCCGCCAATTCGAACAAATTGAATTGGTCTCCCAGCAAGTAGACAAGGGAGAGGAGAAGGCTAGAATCGAGCCGGATGCAAACACGGAGGAGATCCAGATTGATGCCTCCAATCCTGAGAGGAAGGTCAAGATTGGGGCTGAACTTCAGGAGGAGTTAAGGACTGAGGTTGTCCAGGTGCTGACCAGGTATAAATCTTTGTTTGCATGGAGTGTTGCTGATATGCCCGGAATTGACCGGTCAGTCATTTGCCATCGTCTCTCTGTTCTTGAGGGGTCTAGGCCTGTAAGACAGAAGTAGAGATTTTTGGCAAGTGATAGGAGAGATTTTGTAAAGAAGGAGGTTAAGGACCTACTTGAGGTAGGTCATAAGTAAACTACCCTGAATGGCTGGCCAATGTAGTCCTGGCTCCGAAGGGTGATACCTGGAGGATGTGCGTAGACTACACAGACCTTAACAAGGCATGCCCAATGGATTCTTATCCTCTCCCCAGCCCGGACCAAATGGTTGACGAAACCGCCGGGTGTGAGCTGCTAAGTTTCATGGATGCCTTTAAAGGGTATCATCAGATCTTCATGGCGGAAGATGACGAGGAAAAGACGGCCTTCCTCACCCCGGATGGGACATACTGTTACAAGGTGATGGCCTTTGGGTTGAAAAACTCAGGGGCGACCTTGGTCAACAAATTGTTCAGGCCTTTACTTGGACGGACCATGGAGGCCTATGTCGATGATATGCTGGTGAAGAGCAGGACAGCCAACACACACGCTCAAGACCTGGAAAAATGTTTTGAGATTATGGCTAGGCATAATCTTAGACTTAATCCAAAGAAGTGTGTTTTTGCCGTAAGGACGGGGAAGTTCTTGGGCTT